AGGAAAGGAATAATGAGGCCATCACCACAGAGAAGTCTTTGAATATGAGTAAGCAATTGTTCGACTGACCAAAAATATATGAAGATTGGCTATGGCAAGCAAGATCAACAAGTCCATCAGTTACTTTGTTTCCTTCACATAAGATGTGATGAAAAACAAGATTCATTCTCTTAAAATCATCTACCATCTGCCACCAATACCATAGACAAGGAATCATCACTGACTTCTTAAGAATAAAGCAGAGGATCTGAGAATCCACAACCACTTCCAATGGCAGTAGTGTAATTTTGCTTAATATTAGTTCAAGAATAGCTCAGCTGAGGTCTATAAATATGTATTGTTTTTGAATTTAGATTTTTTTTTTGAGAATATAACAGAATGACAAAACAAGATTCATGTAGCTGACGCCAGTCACGCCATATAGTTGGGATATGGCTTGGATGATGATGATTTAGGAAAGTCAGTTTTCACTTTTTGTACAGAACCTACCCAGCATCCTATTCCTACCACATCTCGTCAACCCTTACAGTCCTTCATCCTAAAGTTTACACAATATATATATATATACAAATCTACATTCCTAGACTTAATTCCTTGAATTTCASAAATTTCACAAATTTGAGGGGAAAATGGCAAATTGCTAATTTTGACCTAAATCCTTTTTAGATCAAGTTGCGCATACAAACTTGCTCTAATAAACCCTGCATCTGCAAGTTTTCTTTCTTGAGTCAGTTCCCTAGATCCCAAACCTACTTGGCTCCTATAGAACTCACATATCTTATATCAATCCCCTATTACCACCACCCCCACCCCAAAAAAGGACCATTAACCAATGTTCATCCTGACTATTTGGGGTCATGCTGTCATGGAAGGGGTGGACTGGATACAGACCTAACCTTTGGTATTTTTTGCACAAACAAAAAGGAATAAACTGCATGAACACTTCTTCAAAATAAGTGTGAAAAACTGAAGCCTTTATTCATGTTACTCTCTTGTTGTATCTAGTATCAAATGGTTTCTTTGCCATTCAAAGCAACATTACCATGGGTATATAGGCATGAATTTAGGAAAATAGAGAGCATCATATAGGAGCTGAACATAACCTCCAAGTGGGTAAGAAGGACAGCAAATGGGATGGCCAACACTCTTGCAAAGCAAGGGGCATATAGGCAACAAATGTTTTGGTCACCATTGTAAATCTTATTCCTGAAATGGGATTGAAATGAATCCTTATGGGTGGATACACCATATCCTTGTAATATCCAGATTATCAGTTTAGTATAATCCAATTTTCTTGCTGATCAAAAAATAAATAAAAAATAAGAAGTGGCAGAAAGAAACTAACTCCTTACTAAAAGAAAAGGCCTCAAAGGATTTCTGAATCATAACCAAGGTTCAAAGTATCAACAAGCCCCCGTGTATCGGCAGAGGCATACCGGTACTAAAAAGCATGCAATTTTGTACCTTTTTTTGTTTTTTTTTCAAAAATCGGTTTTTGGGTAGGTTTATATATATTTTTTTTATTAAAAAAGAGGGTTCCCGAAACACCTGTAAACAGGTGTTACAGAACCCAAAAGATACAATACGATACACCCAATACAGGGTGTATTGTATCGAAATTTTGACCCTTGATCATAACATGCCACAAGAAAAGAGTCACATGAAGAAAGAGGTGGACCAACAAACAATGCACAAGGAAACATAATACTAGGATGGGAAAGCAAGATAGATAAGAAGATAGAATGGATTACAATCCATAGTTCTGAATTCCCTGCATAAATAAATAACAGCATAAGAATAATATGCATAAATGAAATGCACCTGCCAAACATACCAGTACATTTAGCACTTGACCATCCACGCCTCGAAGTGAATCAAGATATTGGAACTTTTCATCCTTTTTATTGATAACTGCTAAGCACCAGTGTATCTCTTTATGAATTGGAACAAATATCTGCAAAGGTTTAGTGAATCCAATCAAAAGATGATTGCCATGTCTGACCAAACAAGTTGAACAGGTAATCAATAAGCATTATGAAGGGGAAAATAGCTTTACTTTGTCACACTCAATAAGGCCGTACCCTATCTTCTTTTGAGTAGTCCATCTTCTAACAGCTTTGAAATCATAGCCACTTCTCCCACTAATCAACTAGATGATAGAACCACACACATAGAGCAAAATATCAGTGAACCTTTTCTTTCAATCAGTATTATCAACAAACTCTATCAATTGCAGTCAGACTACATATCCTGATAAAACAATGAACTGCAATCAGAAGACATAGTCTAAAAAAGGGAATGATGGCAGAATTAATGTATGACTATTTTAAGCTTTAGCAGCAAATCAGAATGTTCTCTTTTCATGGATAGAACATTATCCATGCAGTGTTGTCTGGACAGTTGGAATCAACATTTCAGGGAGCTCAAACAGGCAATATGAAAAGGGAATGGGGAAAGAGACTTATAAGAACTCAACACAAAATTGCATATAATATCAAACACATGATATCTTGTAAATTAACACAATTATGCCAATAGAAATGCTCAAGATAAATGCAATTTGTCATCTTTGTTACCAAAAATTTTCTAGGTAAGGTAGACTTTGTAGCATATGGTATGGGCCRTATGGCATGGCTCTCCAGTCAGGAAGGGTAGTAATGGCAAGTCCAAAATGGTACTTTGAAGATGTACCAACTTTTAAAGATGTAATTTAGAGGGTTATCCTAAAATGAGTTTCCTTGATAACTATTTAGAAAGAAGCCCTTTGACAGTTACCAAAGGAAACAGAACTAGACATGTACCCCAAGAGTTACTTCATCCATTTAGAATAGTCCATGCAACATTATCTCCAAACATGTTGATCAGCAATAAGACGTTCACATGAAGCCTTAGAGATACAAGGTGGCGATCAATAAAGGAAGAAACTAACCAACCTTTTTATAGAAAAATGTGTTGAAAAAGTGGCATTTCAAAAACTTCTTTGGTTCTCTTTTTTCCCTCTCCTTCAGTAATTCAAGGTAAAGATTTATGACCTACAAAAATAATGCAAATGCATATTTATGAAACAATGTAACAACTCTATTACACAATTCAATGTCTAGTGCGTAGTCAGACCATTTTAATAATTTGCATATATAAGAGCTTAATTAAAACACACCTCATCATTCAGCCAAGCGCCTGGTCCCAAGCACTGCAAAATTTCTCCAGTAATCTCAATATTAGAATTCTCGTGAGTAACTAAGGCTTTCCGCCTGCAGAGTAGAAATAAAGAAAACATCACTGCCAAAAAGCTACGAGATATGATGAGAAAGTACCAATATCCAACCATAAATCAAAGAAAAGTACCATATCCAACACCTGCATACCTATTAGAGAAGGAAAGTGCACTGGAGACTTGATCCTCTTCCTCGTCAGTAAGAGGAATAAAAGGTTCCCGAGGCAGAGCCTGACAATTATTTAATGAATTTTGATGTACAACGAGACATAAGAACCAAAAATAGAATTAGAAAAGCAGGGCAAATAATACCTCTGATTTCTTTGGTGGACGATGCAAGGATAACGCTGCCAACTTTTTCTCGTTTAATAGGATCTCAAAACCTAAAAAACTCAACCTGGAATTCCTTTTCTCAGCCGAATTGTGCAATTTTTTGTGAGGAAGCTCCCCCTGCTCTTCGACCCCATGACTTACAGATGGAGAATCCATCTTCTCTGCTGCATCCACTTGTGTAGTTATWTTAGTCCTATCAGATACCGTCGATGAGGAATGCTGAAGCTTATAACACGGGAGCTTTGCGTAAGCTTCCCGCAAGAATCCATCCCCATAGAACTCACGATGCTTCTGGTCCGAGACGACGGAGAGTCCTGCTCGCCCATCATCTAATATTTCAATTTCTTCTATGCTCGAGTCTTCAGAAGTTAGATCCTTGGAAGATTCTGGTTCCACACCTATCACCTCCTTCTCCTTTACAAGATTCTTTATGGCACCCAGTGCATTAACTTTCGCCTTCTCCAATTGCCGTGACAAGAAATTCCCCATCTCATCAGTCAACTCTTGTTTCCCGCTACCTTGGTTGCCCTCCTGCCAGGATTCTTTACCAGAACTTAATAAATGAAGACCAAACTTAGGCCTCCTACAAGGAGCGTGAACTTCCCTCCGGAAACTCTGAGTCAATTCCGGGTAACGACGAAGTCTATATACTGAGCTCGTCGACGATAAGGGCCGCTCTGGACTGAGACGCATGGATGAAATTCTGGGCTTCTTTGATATATGAAGATCAACTCGCCAGTCGGAATCCGGGGTATAGGGAGACGAGAAAGGATGGCTTAAGCTGAAATAGCCATCACCGCGCTTACGATTGCTCGTCAGAGCACCCATGGCCGCTCCAGCAAGTTCTGCTCATCACCCTACAAGCCCTAGAAACCAATCCCGTCGACAAGCTGGAATCCCATCAAAACCACCGGAAGATTTAAATAACTAAAACAAACAAATGTGAAACTTGTGTGCTAAATTGCAGTAACTGTACGTACTTCGAGATTCAGTGCAGCGGAATATACAAAGGCAATTAGAAGAAATTTCTCGATCAAGTCCTGGACAGACGGACCAATGAACGTGAAATCGTCAGAATCGAGGCCCCAATGATGCTGTAGAAATTAGAGAAGATAAAACCCAAAAAGAAAAAAGAAAAGGAAAGGAGAAGGAGAAAAAAGGAACAACAGGTAGATTGGAAATCTCAAATTTGGACTAGGGCTATGAAGTCAGAACGGACCTCCGCGGCGCGTTCCCGCCTTCTGAATGAAATTGGGAACGAGAAGGSCAGCGATTAGTTCCGTTTGTACGTCCAACTCTCTCAGGTTAGAGTTGTTGCAAGTCGGGCGGGCTGGGCCGGGTTTTAGTTCAACGGTTCAACCCACTAAATCCTAAGAATTCGGCCTAAAAGCCGAGCCTGACTCCAAGGTCAAATCTGAATTATTCAGCCCGAACACAGCCCGCACTCGAATTCGAATTCGAGTCAGGTTTATGTATATACTAGCAGGCAAGGTTAAAATTATCGACACTTATAGGCCGGTATCTATTCATACCTATTATTTTGGGACCCATTTGATATGCCTCTATGGTGAGTATATCGAAGGTCTGACCGGTTCAAGGGGTAGAGGAGACCTAAACTGGCTTCCTTAAATCGGTTGCGAAAAAAATTAAAAAAATGGCTCCAAAATGTGTATCAATTCGCCCGATACGTCGATAGGGGCTTATCGGGCATATCAATATTTTGAACCTTGCGAGCAAGGACCCGTGTGATGTACGGAAAAATCTGAATATGAACAAATATTTTTAATAAATTTAGTTTTATTAATCATTTGTAGTAATTTTAATAATCTTTTTTATTGTTTTTAAATAAAATTTTGATTAATTTTAAATAAATAAAAATAATTATAAAAGCTAACATTATTATTAATTCCACTAATAATTAGCAATTATATAGGAATAACAACGTGGTGGGTTCAAGGTAGGGCACCCATCCCCAGTGTCACACAAGTTCATGACAAGGTAACCACTCCTCAATGTCGGGCGAGTTCAGGGGCAAAGCACCCCACTCCTCGTTAGTGACGAAGAATCCTCGAATTTCCCAGTCCCGTTCCCAGTATTGGGTGGGTTCAAGTAGATGTGTAAATTGGGCCATGCTGGATCGACACGACACCCGCATATGGCCTACACAAAATGCGAGTCGTGCCATGCTAGCCCACAAGGCATTCCGGGTTGTGCCTCTCTCCTCTAGGATAATTTGGGGAGTCGGTTTGGCATGGCCCACGGCTCGAGCCCGCAAGGGCCCGTACCATGCCATGGGTTGGGTTGATCCATGGGTTAGGCCATGGGCCAGGCCATACCGCACACCAAGCCAAACTCAAGGCAAGGCACCAACTCCCCATCTAAGGTTTTTAAAATTGGACCGGATAAGGAACCGTTCTAGGGTTGAACGGCCTAACTGTTCGGTCCGAACGGATGACCTGCTCTGACAAAAAAAAGGCCAAAAACTGTTATCCGGGTTGATAGTTCAATCGCCCAAGTCAGCAGTTCGCTAACCAAATAAACGGTTTTTGGACGAAAAGCGGTTTTGAGGTGAAACGGTGTCCAGTTCCCAATTTTTCCTGTCTAACCATCTAATTTGGTCCAATTTTGAAAACACTGTCCCCGTCAACCAATATTCAATTTGATGATATAAATGATCAAAAGGATATATCGAGTACCAACCACATGGTAAAATTCTAAAAGCACACTAAATTGTCTTTAATATTAAAAAATGTAATTTTATGAAAATTTTGGAAAAATTATTGTACTTGTGTAATTTTGAAAATTGATTCAAATTGATTTAAATTTTTATTAAATAATTTATTTTATTTTTAAAAGGTTTACTTACAGAATTATACTAATTTATCTTGTAATTTCTAATATAAACTAACCAATAATTTCCTTTTTCCAATATTATACTAATTTATCTTAATAAAATGTGTGTAATTATTTGTTCAAATTATAGTTTTCCATTTCCCACAGTCATTTATCTTTAATAATTTTCAATAATTACATAATTTTTCAATGGTTTTCCAAAATCTATCAAATGTAATAAATTTTCCTAAAATTTACAAAATATTCTAATAATTTTCAATAATTATTTAATGCATTTTAAATAAACTTTCAAATACTTTATATCTTTTAATTTCAAAAATGTGGTTTTATGAAAATTTTTGAAAATTTTATTACATTTG